TTCTTCAGGAACTTCTTTTTCTACAAAAGATCCCCGGATAATATCGACGCCACTAGGGGTATGTTCTTCCAAAATGGATGGCTGGTTCTAAATGGAGATAAAAGTAAGCTTTTATTGGGTTTAAAAATTAAGGGTTTTGTTGACGAAAGTCTTAGAAACAAAGAAAACCATGAATGATTGGGCCAGTAGGGAACTACAAGTATTCCTTTAGATTTATCTTTAATTAGCTTATTCAAAACCCGTCCAATTATGGGAAAAGGAGGAAACGCGTAAAATTTCCAGGATTTATCCCACTTAATTGTAAATGCATCAGATGTTAAGGCTCCTGGATCTTTCAACCATGAAATATAAGTATTACATTTAGCATTTATCCTAGATGCAAACAAATCGATATTAGGCTTACCAAACTGTTTTACTATTTTAGAAAAATTCTTACTATTTAACGAATATTCCATCTCAATATTTAAAATTCTCGATTGTTCATCAGCAATTATATTATCTTTGGATGGTATATATGAAGCATAGAGCATTAGTTCCCGTTTTTCGCACCATAGCCATATTTGTCTACTTAGATTACTCAATTTCTCAAATTGTATGCCTCCCATTTTATTTATATAGGCTATGGCCGTTTTATTGTCTACACGCAGAAGAATGTTACAGTTTTTTTACTCTGAAGCAAAACACTGCAATGCATAATGAATAGCCAAAAGTTCGAGAAAATTAATGTGATGTTTCATATCTTCTTGATCCCAAAACCCATGGGTAACTTCTGTATTACATGCAGCCCCCCATCCCGTTTTGGAAGCGTCTGTATAAATTTCGTAAGCATATTCTTTACTACCCAAATCATTAAAAGATGTGTCTATTGTCTGTTTCCACCACAATAGTTCCCTACAAATAATCTTTGATAGTATAATTTTAGAATTATAACTTCTAAATCTCTTTAAACTCAAAAATTTTGCTCGTTCTAATCTCTTAATATGCAACCATCCGTATTGTACAACCGGACAAGCTGAAACTAACAATCCAATAATACTTGATAACTCTCTTATTTTACATGTTCTCTTCCTAACAAAAGTATTAATTGCATTTAAAATTGCCTGTTTTTATGTTTGGGAAGATAAAATGTCATGTTCTGACTATTGTAAACATATCCTAAATATTCACAAACTTGACTCGGGTCAATTTTTGATTTTTTAAAGTTTATTAAAAAACCCAATTTTCTCAAAGTGGACAACACTATAGCTATACTCTTATCTACTTCACTTTTAGTTTTTCCTAGCAGTAAAATATCATCCAAGTAAATTATACCCAGGATTCCGAGTTGCCTAAAATAATTAAATATTGGTTTTAAAAGCTTAGTGAAAACATAGGGTGCCGTAGATAAACCCATAGGCAAGCAATTAAATTCAAACAGTTTTTCCGCAAATTTAAATCTAAGAAATTTCTTATCTCTATTATTTATTGGTATCATATAATAGGCATCTTTTAAATCGATTGTAGCCATGTAGATATTTCGAGAAATTAAATCTTTAACAGATTTATAATTATCCAATTTGAAATGAGGTGCTTTCAAGAACTTATTGAGATACTTTAGATTTAATATAAAACGTTTTGTTTTGTCGGCTTTTGGTATAAGAAAATAGGGAGATAAAATTTGGTTCTCTACTGGTTGACATTGACTGATTACTCCCTTGTTCACTAAATCCAAGATGGCAGCGGAATAGTGTCTTATCTCATCGTCCTGCATTTTCTTTGGAAGATAACTATATTGAAAAGGATTTTTGAAAAATGGCATCTTATATCCCTTGACCCACGACAAAATGGTCTTATCCTGAGTAAATTGCCGCCAATTTGCCATATAATGTTTTATTCTGCCACCATATACACTGGTACCCACCTCTATTACTGGTAATTGCGTCTCTGGTACACTTTGTCGTGGCGATCCTTCCCTTGAGCCCGGTCTCTTCCTTGAGGGCGACCTTTCATTCTTCCTTTGTGGAAGTGAGGCTGGTAGTTTAAAGATACCGAAGGTCTCTGCATGAGGTTACCTCTGAAGGACTTATCAGGAAAAACGTTATTTGAGGTAGATGGCAGCTGTCTTGACGAAGATGGATGAGCATTCTTCATTTCTTTCCCCGTTCTCCATTGGGCCTTAACCTCTTTGAATTTATCGGCAAAATTTTTACCACACAAAAATTCGTCAGGTTTACTTTCTCTGACGATTTTCTTCACTGTAGAGTTTAAGTGCCCTTCTACGTGATATTTCCGGTTTGTGGACATCATGTGCAAAACGCCACACAAAATTTTGCCAGCGTCCACCACACTGGGTAACATTTTGGATTTAAAAACCATCGAGGCTGCATCCGGTGCTGCTACATCTTCTTTCAACATACCATCAATTACCCCTGCGATGGCAGCCAGTGCTACGCCCACATGCTTCTGAATAGTAGAAACATATTTGTCCTCTTTTTTGACAGGATCACCTAAGGTTGCTTCCAATTCCGGGTTCAACAAAAGGGCTCGTAAGTAAGGAATATTTTTGGGAATCAGGTATTTTTTGTCCAACTCCTCCTTGTCCGATTTCTCTAAACCTAATGTCACGTACTTGGTCCATCGATCAGCCAGAGATTTGTGAACCTCGCTTCCTAATACTGGCTCACTTCCCGACGGAATTTCCAGATTTTCATCTTGAGATTGTTCTTCAATTACAGGAGGAGACCTCTCTGCCTCATTGATTATGACTTCTGGCTCTAAATGTGTATACGTTTGTCCCGTACTATATACACTGCTTATACTTCCTGATGAATCAGAATCAGAGCTGGATTCACATAAAAAATATATACAGTCCTCACCTACTTGCGCATGCAATATCCTTAACATATTCTGTAGAATATGTCCTGGGTTTAACGGTTTTACCCTATTTATATGTTTTTCACGTTATGTGAAAACTGCAAAAGGCTTTAACGGTTCTAGCCCATTCTTAATACATTAGGTTTAACGATTTTACCTAAAAACAACTTACTAGTGCTCTTACACCTATCACCTCGCCGACTTTTCTTGTCAATTTTCTCTAAACTCTTAATTAGTTTTCGCCGTTTTCTCTCCAATCTTGCAGCATCACTACTTGTTTTTCGCTTCGGCATTTCACGAATTTCCACCAAAATGTAAATAAACCGGTCCGTACTCGACGAAGCACAACAGTGTAATGATTCATATGCCTGGGCCGATAAGAAACGCAAGATAGATAGGTATTTTGTTTGTATACGGGGTACCTTTAAAAATGTTGTGCTCGACAAAGCATAAATGGTGTTACTACGTGTGTGATCTAATTGGACGAGTATAGCGAAGTATAATCAAACAATATTTAAGTGTAATTTAAAATAATAAGCAATAAACATGCGTTAAATATGATTATTTTGCTAAGTTGTAGATATACTACTCATCATATTTCTCGCTAAACCAACGTAACATAAGAATAGTTTTTGCGGCTTCTTTCATTATCAATAATAAGCTGTGACATGTCAATTCTTCAAAATCGCGAATACTATGGTAAGCCTAAAAAGTTCTTCAACACTGGTTTATTTGTCAATGATACAGTCTTATTAACTCCAGAGAGATTCAAACTGTGTTACTAATGAGGTTTTTGAAATCACAGGTTCCTGGTGAGTACACCAATTTTAATCGGACCATAATATGTGCTTGAAAACTTGTTTCATATTTGAGCTGGAGCTACAGTGTACACCTGGGAGTTCTTAGTTATAAAATATACAGATGTGTAATGAGAGAATTCCGTACCAAATACCACTTTCCATTCATCTCTGCGTATTATTAGAACATGCTTCCCAATAACTTTCTTGTTTACCCATGTAAAATGTACTGCTATTGTATCTGAATATCGATCTACTAACCGGTGGCATAACTCATTTTCCTTTGTTTCCTGATCCATCTACCTGCTGCAATCTAACGATTTTGCGACCATTTCCGGGAAAGTTCCGCCGAAAATTAATTATCTGACACGTGTACTTAATACATCCCACCTATAAATTGGTATACTGTGATTAGTGTACGCCGGCAGGCAAACAATATCGGTTATTATTCTGACAGGAGCTAATTCAATATAGTGCATAGAAGGAGGTATTAGTTTAACTGGCAGCTATAGTTTGAGCAACACGCCTGTAACCTGAAACGGGGCGACTTGATCGGCATCAGATGCTCTGACGGGGTAGGTTTCAATGCAGGGGCAAACATTCCAAACCTACTCATGCCTTAATGTCATTGTGATAGCTTAGCAATTAGAAGAAACAAAAAGTGTAAATGGCAAGGATGATCCAGCACAGTAAAGCTTTTTTATTTATAATCCCATACTGGCATTAGATAAAATATATTTTATCTAAACCATGGTCCAACGGCTGGTTCGACAAATCATGTGACACTGCTCGCCAGGAGAAGATCAAGGCACACAGAACCTTTTTACAAAACCCCATTGTATAGGGCAGACAAGCCGACTTCGAGTCCAGAAACAAATATAACGAAGCGGTTCGCAATGCTAAAGACCATCACGATATAAAAGATAGGCACAGGGTAATGTCGCAGCGCAATGGCAGTCGGACTTTCTGGATGCTGTCCAGCAGATTGAAAGGAACTTCTCATAGAGTATCCTTCCACCACTTACGTGTCTGGATGGAACGATTGTAACCGACTCAGTGTCGCAGCCAAGACCGATCCCAATGTGTGGCAACGTCGAAAATTAAACCCAGTGATTTTCCGTTTTTTGTTATTAAACAGTTTTAATATGTAATATAATTTCTACAGTTCACTGGATGTAGATTGAAACAGGACGGTACGCAGATACTAAAAAACGGGTAAGAAAAACGCAAACTTTGTTCAAGAAAACATTGTAGTTTGTAACCTCAAAAACTCAGCATACGATAAAATTTAGACACAATACCTATGCTGTGATGCCAAGTGTACCAAAAATTCTCGGAGCTACTGAAAGAATGAATACACGACAACAAACGAAATCGAAAAAAAACATACCAGAAAAAGTCAACAAATCCAACAATAGCAGCTATATCCACATACAAGTTGACAATTCTGTGGATGATAAAACCTACACCCAGGAAGAGTTACTGTTAGATCTTAGGAATAAACTAGCCTCAGAATTAGCAAAGAATGATGATCTGCATGATCTCACTGCAAAGTTGAAAGTCGAAAGTTAAATAACGAAGTCCTGAACAAGGATAAAACGATAGAACATCTCAAAGGAATAATTGAGAAAGTTAAAGGAAACACAGTGGTTTCTAACAAAAATACACAAACAGATGCAGCTCTAACAAAGCAAACGGCCACACAAACGCACGCCAGCAAAGAGTCGAGGCATGTCCAAATTTCTAAATCATTTTCGAATAATATAAAAAGAAATGAACCACGCAAGCCTAAGTTACTAATTCTTGCAGACGAACATGGGCGAAACCTTGTCCATATTTTTCGAAACATCCTGCCACTCAGCCAAATAACAGTGGAGGCAATGCTGAGCCCAAATGCCCAGATGCATGACATAATGAAGGACGCACTAAATCTATCGTCTGATTTCACCAAGTTGGTCTATATACTCATACTGGCAGGATCCAATGATGCCCATATCAGAGGTTGCATATACAGTGAGTCGCTAGGGAGAATTCTTAGAAATATGGGACACACTAACACCATAGTAGCAACGGTTCCAGAGTGGAAATGCAGGCGTCCCGTACTAAATAGTATAATTCAAGGTATTAATGATCAAATGCAAGCGAAAATACCGCAAACCTCTTAGATATGCCTTCAACATTATCACTTCAAGAAAAACTCAAACATGTTTAATAATGCTGGTAAACACATGATATGCAACATAATAAAAGATATCATTACCTCAAAAAAAGTGAAGGCCGATAAAATAAGCAAAAATCCCGCCGTTGTGAACGCGATATTGCCTCTTAGAAAAAAGTCTGCCGATGAGTGTGGTCAAGCCAATCTAGTCATACAGCAATTTCCAATGTTGCAGAGAACATCTTTAACAAGCTCTATACATCCGGCCAACAAGGAACAACATCTCCTGCCACCATTGAAACAACCGTCGACTTCAAGTAAAACGAAAGGAACTAAGGACGTACAGAAATCATTTTTTTCATCGAACAGCCTCACAAAAATTAACACATTCAAAATAGTACATCTTAATGTATGTAGCATACAGAACAAATATTACTCTCTCGATGTTTTTTTGATGAGACAACACCTGATGTACTATGCCTCACGGAAACATGGCTGTCGTCTCATGCAGCAAGTGTAGCTAATATTAAGGGGTATACAAACGCAGCAACGTTCTTCAGAAGCCAATATATTCATGGTGGTTGTGCTGTATTTGTGAAACAAGGCGTGACTAACAAGGAACTTCCATATGTCAAGAAGTTTTCCGTAGAACGACACATCGAATGCTGTGGTACCATAGCTACTCTGCGAAGTACAAAAACGAACCTAATAGTAATATGTGTATACCGTCCGCCATCTGGTTACATAAGAACCTTTCTCGAGAGTCTTTCGGAAATTCTCGATCACGTATCAGCCACACGCGACAAGATTATTCTTTGCGGCGATCTAAACATTGACTATTCTCGCCCAACTTTAAATACCATGATGCTTCGAGATATTTTAGATTCGTTCAACCTTGTAAATCACTGCAACGAACCTACACGCTACGCTATCAGCAGGAATAACACAATATCCAATACGTCAATAGACTACATGACGACAAATCTCAGTTCACAATTCATCACTTGTACAGTATTTGATCCACATATATCCCACCACACTGCCCAAATGCTCTCGATCTCCATCACGTCAACCAGCGAATCCACTAAAAACATTAGCAAGTCACGTCGGATAAGAACAATAAAAAGTGAAAACCTTGAGAACCTTAAAGCCAACCTGTCTCAAGAACACTGGTCGATAGTTGAAGATGAAGATATAGACACGGCGTTTGAAAACTTCATCAATACTTTCTTATGGCATTTTAATACCGCATGTCCAGAAAGAGTAGCGATTTTAAAGCAGAACTCACACACTAAAGCCTGGATAATGGAGGAAATAAGATCCTCGAGAAAAAATTTGAGGGAAATACACACCCTCCTGCAAAATAACAAAGATAACTCCGAACTAAGACAAAATTACCTACAAAGAAAAAGTAAACACAGAAAACCACTAACAACTACTAAAAAACGATATCATGAACATCTAATTGAAAATGCAGAAAATAAATCGAAGAAGGTATGGGAAATTGTAAACAAAGAACTAGGACGAAGCAGCTGTACCAATCAAATAATCTTAAATATAGAATCCATTGGAGATCTGCGAAGCGAAGGTACATCCGACGCATGTGGTAGGTATTTTTTTACAGTAGCAGAGAAGAAGCTTCATGTACACTTTGGAGGACAGCCCACAACAACAAGTCTGTCAACAACCTCACTAGGTCAGTCAATGTTCTACAGCGAAACTACCGAAGATGAAGTGACCAATGTGATAAACAACCTTCGAAATAATAAGTCGTGTGGAAGTGATGGTGTGTCAACAAGAATAGTTAAACGTGTGTGTCATCAAATTGCAGGTCCACTAGCTGTGCTCATAAACATGTCGGTGCATCAAGGTAAATTTCCTAAAAATCTTAAATTGGCCATTGTGGTACCTATATTGAAAAAGGGAGATCCCTCTCAAGTCGGAAACTATCGTCCAATATCTCTTCTGTCAGTTTTTTCAAAGATATTTGAGAAAGTACTGCACGCGCGCATAGCTAGCTATACTGAAAAATACAACATTATCTCCAATAACCAACATGGATTCAGGAAATCACGCTCGATTGAGACAGCCTCTTTTGAGTTTATTAACCACATACACCGAGCAATAGACTTGGGTCATCTAGTTGCTGGAGTATTTTTCGACTTGTCCAAAGCGTTTGATATCATTAATGTAGATTTGCTAAGGGAGAAACTTTTCAATATAGGTATTAGAGACTTCTTGCTGGACTGGCTAGTGTGTTTCCTGACAGACAGAGAACTTAGAGTAAGAGTGAACGATGCGCAGTCAGCTACCTATAAAATAAATATAGGTGCAGCTCAGGGATCTGTATTGTCACCACTTCTGTTCATCTTATTTATAAACGATCTGAAACTCTCAGGCGCAGTAGTGAACTATGCTGATGACACATCGGCTGTAGTAACCGCAGATTCGCCTGAAGATCTGTACCTTAACATTGAAATCATAAAATCTGAGATGGAAGAGTGGTGCCAAACAAATCGTCTGATCTTGAATGCTGACAAGACGGTAGTTGTTCATTTTTACTCTAGAACTCCACGTCTCATTAACAGAACTATCTCAGACTCTACGACCTTCCTGGGTATTGAGTTGGATGCAGGATTAAATTGGAAGCAACAAGTTGACAGTGTATGCACGAAAATCAATAGGTTCTACTATGCGATATTGAAATTAAAGACAAAAGGCCCCACATCAACGCTGATAGATGTGTACTACGCAATGGTGTATTCGCATCTGTCAAATCACACCATCGTCTGGGGACAAGCATGCACCGCGTCCAGAGTGTTTATTTTGCAGAAACGTATTGTAAGGCTGATATTTAACATTAAAAGGAGAGAACCATGTAGAGCAATATTTCAGCATAATAACTAACGCTTCCGAGTATATATATTTATAAATGCGCCGTCTACACCTTCAATCACAGGGGCCAGTTTCTGCAGAACATGGACTTAAACACGAACTACAACACTAGAGCGAAACAGGACTTGAGTATACCTTCGCATACACTGTCAATGTTCGAAAAATCACCAGCCTACGCCTGCACCAAGGTATTCAATAAGTTGCCATCAATACTAAAAGATATTAGATGCTCAAATAGGTTCAAGAAAGAGCTAAGGAGTCTGTTAATAGAAAGATGCTACTACACAGTAGCCAAGTTTCTTTCAGGGTAAGAGTGATGCACCAAAAAATTAAATAGGAAACTATGGCTGTATATATATATATATATGTGTATATATGTATATGTATGTGTGTCTATATATATGTATGTGTATATATGTATATATATGTATTATGTATGTGTATATATGTGTGTATATATTTACTCGTATATGCGTACCTGTTATTTTTTTTCTATTTTTATTGTACTTACTTCTTTTACACCTTGTTCTGTTTATTATTATTGTATCTGTTGTTTTCTCGATTAAACTGTGTTTCTTTCCATTTTTAACCGACAAATTTATGTATTTATACTTAACTATATTTTTAATTTTTGTAGATAATAATGTACTCATAGTGATATGCATGACGAGTCTTATATCATTTCTATGATCCGAAGACAATAAATCATCTATCTATCTATCTATCTATCAAAGGCTAAGGCGGAGTGCTTGCCAAGATCTCTGCTGCCAACTCCACCATGGACGTCCCCCCAATGCCCAAGTACCGTCGATTCAAAGAGTTCTCTACACTATGCAGGAAGTAACATTTAGATATAAGACCGTAGTCTTGTCGCTCCATATCAACAGGCAGCAGCGTTGGCCGCAGTAGTAGACTCTTCGGTCTCCTGATCAGTTGCCGAGCGCTGTGCGGGTTCGAATCCCCTCCCAGGAGAAATTTTTCTCTTGGCTATGGATTTTGTGATCGTCCGTAGAGGGTAGATGGTCTCTGACTGTCGAACGCGGAGGTACCACCCGGCGGATCTCGTAGGCGGGGCCATGATTTGTGCATGTTGTATGCACACGTGTTCCCTCGCCAGAGTCCATGTGGCGTTCCCCGTTTCCCCTGTATCCCCCTATAGCCCCACGATACCCCATGGGTGTTTAGGCCTTGGGCCTTCGTGGTAGCTGGAGTATAAAAAAACAAAGCTTCTGGTCTGGGCTTGATGAAGAGGTGCGCAGCGGAGCTCTAGTTCTTTCGCGCTCTTCCAGATATCTCATTAATCCGGCACCAGGAAACTAGAAATTTCCTCATGTCAAACCTATCCCAAAAAAATCCCGACCCTTACAACTACAGGCCTGTAGCTATGCTTTCTGTTAAATAAGTAAGGTGATGGAGGGGTGCATAAATCGCGAGCTTCTGGACTACCTTGAACGTCACAGCTTGACTAGCGACAGGCAGTATGGTTTCCGGCACCAGCGATCCATAGGGAACCTTCCAC